TGTGTGTGTGTGTGTGTGTGTGTGTGTGTGTGTGTGTGTTCAGAAGTGTCTCTGAGCATGTTGTCAAGTCAGTATTGAAATGCCTGCAGCAATTATTGTTTGTTTAGTAAAACCGAATGATTGTGAAATATGACTGCAAATGAAATGTAAATTAAGTGTGTGTGTGTGTGTGTGTGTGTGTATAAAGTAAAACTAAAACATGTAAAAAGCAAAAACATGAACTGAAATGAAATATGAAAACATTTGTATGTTTTTTTTTAGCTACACTGAAAATTGGCATAGGATTTACTTTGAAAGAATTTTCACTTAGACATTGTTAGTAAACTTTACAAATAAATACATTTTTTAAATTTAAATTGAAATACTAAAAATAAGTAATAAATAAATATAATAAAAACTATATAGAACAACAACAACAACAAACTTAGAAAATATATCTAATTCAAAATAAAATGATAAATGATAATGATAATGATAAATAAAAATGACAGAAACAACAAAAATATTAAAAATGAAATGAAAACTGAAAATCGCCTTCACAGTAAGTAAAACTAAATAAATTAAAATTAATTAATAAAAATGAATACAAACTACTACTAACTAATAGAAACCACAGAAACGATAAAAAACAAAAATTTAAGTGAAAACTGAAAATAAACATAAAATCTGATTAAAAGTAAATAACTAAAACTAAATTAACTAAAACGACAAAATACAAATGAATATAAACTATATAGACATATTTTTTAAAAACTAGTAAAAATGACAAAAACTACTAAATTAATGAACTGTTCAAATGAAAGTAAAAATACAGAAAATATAAAAATAAAACCTAATTCAAAATATTAAGGAAAACTATAATAGTACATAGGGCTGGGTATCGAGTTCGATACTTTTTAGGCACTGACCGAAATGCCTCGATACCATGGAGTATCGAAAAACGTCTTGTCGTTCGGTACCAAATTTCGATATCTAAGGGGTTAATCTCATCAGCGTCAGTGAGCCAATAAGCCTGCAGCACTAGCCGGTGTGTTCGACTAGAAGAGGAGCCACGCAGATCGATCAGTGTTTGACATCCGCGAGAGCGATTCGAAAGCGTACGGAGCAGTCTGCTCTCTTTAGCTCTCGTGGTACTGTAATACACCGATCGGTCTGCACAGTCGGTCCGCATCAAGTCGAACACACCTACTAGTTAACACCGGTTACACTCAGAGATGTGGCGCACACGTGAGGCTGTAGTGCAAATGCGTCCCAGCCCCCTTAGATGTAAGGCTACATTTACACTGGTGCGTTTATGTTTTAAAATGAAAATGATCCTCGTCATACTGGCGTTTCCACTGCGTTTCAAGCCGGCTTTCCGCTATCTCCGTCAAACGACCAGTGACAGACCGATCATTCAGTCATTAATTTCCAATGGAGAGTAGCGCGGGAGCTGCGTGGAGTTCCGATCATATGCAGATGTCCGTTCACACTACACGACCGAAAGCGCGTGTTATGTAACCATTCATGCAAACTGAAGCATCATGTTACATAAGACAACAAATAAGATTTATATCCCGCTTTTACTCAAAACTCACTTTAAACCACCATCAAGTGTTTTTAATAACTTCCGATTGCCGTCTAATGTGTTTTTTTGCCATGTAATGTTGCTGAAATAAAATATGTTATTACCTCTGAGTCAGAGTCTGAGCAGCAATCATGGAAGAGAGAACACAAGCAGACAGCGCTGGAAGCTGCTAATGCTCATCAGTAAATCAGTGGAAAACAAATAGAAATCATGATTCTGTCTGAGTTACGCGTTTTAAAACGAACACTAACTAGTGTAAATGTAGCCTAACAGATGTGTAAACTGCAGACTATTTGAGCTTTATTAAAACTATTTGCACTGATTTATTGTGTTGGTTACGTTTTGTTCCTTTGTGCAGTGGCTCAGGAGATGAGTCTTTGAGTTTGTCATCAACAATCTGAAAAATAAAACCAAAGTTAATTTTTTTAGATAATGTAATCTTGTTAAAATTGATTTCATAAAATTGGTATCGAAAAAAGTATCGTTCAGGAACCGGTATCGAAGTCAAGGTATCGATATCGAACATTTTTGAACGATACCCAGCCCTAATAGTACATCAGTGACAGTAAAATAACACAGGTGCACACTGTAGTCTAGTAGTCTAGTCTGTTGTGTGATTGACAGCACTGTCAGCGTGACAACAAGGCCATGAATAATATCAGGGTCGTTGCCGTGGGCGACCGTGCATCATCATTAAATGTGTGTGTATATTTGTGGACTCTCTGTGACACGAGAGCGGCAGTAATAAGATGCCCTTTCCATAACACCGCTGTTTATGAGCAGTTCGGTTCAGATCACGTAACAGTGATCACCACCTCTGTGCTGCTTACAGCTGTGTGTGTGATTCTCGTGTCTAAAGCCCCGATTGAGTCACTCAACGAACAGTTCATCCAAAAAGGAAAAATTGCTGAACATTTACTTACCCTCGGGCCATCCGAGATGCAGATGAGTTTGTTTCTTCATCAGATTTGGAGAAATGTAGCATTGCATCAGTGTCTCAGCAATGGATGCTCTGCAGTGAATGGGTGCCGTCAGAATGAGAGTCCAAACAGCTGATAAAAACATCACAATAATCCACAAGTAATCCACACCACTCCAGTCCATCAGTTAACATCTGGAGAAGACAAAAGCTGCGTGTTTGTGAGAAACAAATACATCATTAAGACGTTTTGAACTAAAATCTGAGTGCATAATCCATAATAATGCTTCCTCTGGGGAAAAAGTGGTCTGGTCTGAATTAGGAGAGAAATCTGCACAGATCAAGCACCAAAGCCAAAACAGCTCTAAACAAAATATGAGAGTGGATTTTGATGTGAGAGACAACAGAACATTTTCGCTGGAGGAAGCGTTATGGATTATGAACTTCTATTTTAGCCAGAAGCAACGGTTTGAAGTTAAAAACATTTTGATGGATTTGTTTCAGCTTTTGTCTTCTCAAGACATTAACTGATGGACTGGAGTGCTGTGGATTACTTGTGGATTATTGTGATGTTTTTATCAGCTGTTTGGACTCTCATTCTGACGGCACCCATTCACTGCAGAGGATCCATTGCTGAGACACTGATGCAATGCTACATTTCTCCAAATCTGATGATGAAACAAACTCATCCACATTTTGGGTGGCCTGAGGGTGAGTAAATCTTCAGCAAATTGTCATTTTTGGGTGAACTATTCCAACAATAACCTAACCTAACATTTCCATTGACATTAGATCCGTTAGATCGTGGCGATTAAGCAGATAAGACGTGTGATCTGTTCTGCTCTGCCCTGAGTTTGATTGACAGCTGTCAGTCACAGACGCTGCTGCCCTCGTGAATTCTTTTTCAGCACTCGTTGTGTGTGTTTCTTGCACTCTTCACAGTATTGGCTCTTCTCTAGAGTTGCTATGGTGATGCTAGTGTGCGTGTGGTTAGCTAGTCTCAGATGCACATATTAGCTCTTTTACAAACCTTGATAGCATTTTAAGACATTGGAGGCACAAAAGCTGTTTGAAAAGAGATGCTGCGAAATGATTCCGCCTCATAAGATATCTTGTTTTAGCAATAAGGCAATCCCAGAATGCACTGCGGCAAATAAAAGCATGTAATTCCAATAGAGATGTTGCAAAGCTAACTAATACTGCAATATGCACGAATTCTACACACAATACATGAATATTGGTTAAAATATTTCCATTTTAATTGCATTGAAAGGTAGCCAGTTCACTAGAATTTGGAAAAGAGCTTGTGTTGAGAGAAATTTGGACTATGTATATCATTCAGTACTGAGAAATATTGATAAAATAAACACCGTTTACCCAATATTCATTATTACACTGGAAAAATGATTTTTGCTTCTTGTTTTGTTCATTACAATGAGCTAAAGCAACAGTTGCTGAACATTTGATCAACTTAATTTCATTGTGTTCACTTAAATGTCAAATTGTAGTTTACTTAAATAATTTGTGTTGATGGGACTACATTCATTTTTGTTGCATGTACTGAAACTTCATGGGTGGACTTTTAGCTCCCAGAATGCTTTGCATAGGACAGATTTGGGAGAATAAATGTTTAATTTAAGTGCTGTTTCATGTGTTTCTGAGCCAAGGCAAAGACTTGTTAACATATAAAGTTAATTTATGCTGGTGTTGAGTTTGGCTGGTTTGGTTGTACGATGGTTTAACTATAGTTCTGGTTTTGTTTAGTGAACATACACTCAGAAAAAAATAACACAGTAGCTTTGTAAATATCACAATAATTAAAATCTCTGAACATCACTGAAGTGATTGAGTTCAAATTAATGCCTAAAATAAATGCCTTCAAATAGTTAATTTTGTCTAAAACTTGCATTGGTTATTAATTAGTTAATTAATTTTAAAAAATACATTTGTATTTGACTAACAAATTGTATATTAATATATCTATACACAATGTAATTTTTAAAAAATATTATTTTATTTATTTTTTTTAATTTTTATTTAGTTATGTGGATTTTACTTAATTCCATGTGTGACATTTACTTGAAAGATCTGAGTGCAAAACATGCAAAAGAAAAACACATTTACATGTTAGGAAATGTAAAATATTAAATAATTATTCAAATACTATTTTTAATTTAAAAGTACAATTTTATTATTTTAAAATTGTAATATATTTTTTGCCTTGGTTTTTTATAGTTAAAAAAAAAACTATTGTATTATTATTATATAAGTCTGCGTGTGTGTGTGTATTTATTTATTTTTACTTATCTAATTTTACTTATATTAGAAACATCTGCAAAACAAAAAAATGAGTAAATTCCACTTGTTTTTTTTCAGTGTAGTTCAGAAACCATCTGACATGTTGCTCATTGCTGCGAATTCTTCTCGACTGAAGAGTTTTGCGAGACTGTTTTTCCTGTTTATTACTGTGAAGCGATCTCTACTGTATAAAGCGCTGCATGAATAATCTCTTCTGTCTGTGTAGCTGAGGATCGGGATCCACTCGGGCTCAGTGCTGGCTGGAGTCGTCGGTGTGAAGATGCCGCGCTACTGTCTGTTTGGAAACAACGTCACGCTGGCCAGCAAGTTTGAGTCGGGCAGTCACCCACGCTGCATCAACGTCAGCCCTACTACATACCAGTGAGAGAACACACACACACACACACACACCAGCCAGTGTTTCTCAGCTGATGTGTAACTCTGCTGCAGTGGAGACAGTCACAACTGTTTCTATGGCAACCTACTTCAGTCGAGATCGTCAAGGACGATACTCTGCAGTCAAGTGCAGCTCTGAAGATCTGCTCTCACACACACACACACGTTTCAAAATGCAGCAGCGAGCTCCTGTGTTTGTAGACATCCACAAACACTCCACATGAACAATCATGCACAGGCAAACTGACACACATGTGCACAATTAAACACACACACAGTATGAATAATCAAGAATGGCTGCAATATAACAAAGAGTGAAAAATTTAAGGGGGTCTGAATACTTTCCGTACCCACTGTATATGCAGTTTTCTACTAAAACCAACACTTGTTGAGTGTATATTATCTAATATTATTTTTTATTATAATTATATTTTTTAATTAAATTATAATCATATATTTTGTCTTGATTTTATAGTTAGAAGTATAATAAAATAATGTAAAAACAATTTTATAAGAACACATTTTAATGAATTATTGAAATATTAACTTGAAATACACTTAAACAATTTATTATAATTATGTAATAAAATATTTTGTCTCGATTTTTATAGTTAAACATAATATACAATATATAAATGATATAAAACTATTATTAGTAGTAATAATAATATATGCTTTATTGAATTATTGAAATACTAATTTAAAATATACTTCAAGAAGATATTTTGTCAAATGGGTTTAGCTGACAAAAAAAAAGTTTGAGAATCCTGCTAAATATATATATTTTTTTTTACTTTAACGTACACATGTATAATTATAAAACCTCATTTTGCCTTGATTTTTATAGTTAAAAGTATTCAAAATCATTATCATAATAATATAAAATGATTAAAAAAACAATTTTGTTATATAATTATAATTATGCACTAATTATGCTACAGAAAATGTATTGCATTTTTAGAATGAAAAAAAACGTTAATTTTAGTGCTGTCAAACAATTAATCGCGATTAATCGCATACAAAATAAAAGTTTTTGTTTGCATAATATGTGTGTTTTGTGTATATTTATTATGTATATATAAATACACACACATGCAGCATATATTTGGAAAATATTTACATGTATTTATAGGTCTATATTTATATTCATATTTATATTATAAATAAATATATTTATTATATAAACATTTTCCTGAAATATATACATGCATTTGTGTGTATTTATATATACATAATAAATATACACAGTACACATACATATATTATGTTAACAAAAACTTTTATTTTGGATGCGATTAATCACGATTAATCATTTGACAGCACTACTTAATTTATATTTTGTTTGTTTTTGTCAGAGTGAGGTCTTGTATATTTAATTCTTTTCCATTTGCTTTTCCTCTCAGACTCCTGCGTGACGAGCGCACGTTCACCTTCATCCCTCGCTCCCGGCAGGAGCTTCCCGACAACTTCCCCAAAGAGATCCCAGGAATCTGCTATTTCCTGGAGGCGGGTAAAACCCAGAGCCACGCCCCTCTCACCAGCACTCGCTCCGCCCCCATCCGGAAAGTGTCCTATAACATTGGGACCATGTTTCTACGGGAGACTAGCCTCTGAGACGGCCCCACCCATTCGCTGTGACATCACGTCCTGTAGACTAGTGTTGCCTGTGGCAACTGGTGGCCCCGCCTCTCGACCGGAGCGTCCCCCCAGAGGCATGACACGGAGAGGGCAGGGAGGACGGCCTTTAAAGGAGCCATGGATAATTGTGTTCTGAAAAAACAATAAAAACAATTATATATATGTATAGATATATATTTCAAATAAAGCCTTCTGCTCAACGGCATAGCCAAACTTTCATGGTGTACACATGCAAATACTACAGACAAACTCATGTAAACACACATTTCTTGCTGCATTGCAGGTAATAGATTTAACATGCATAACTTTGGTGCCTTTACCTCCCATACACATACATGAACACACACACACACACACACCACAAACATGCTCTGCCATTTTAAATGCCGCCATTAACCACTTCCATCCTTTATGTGGGAAATGTGTGTGTGTGAATCCTCTATTAACCATTGTTAGATCCCTTGTGTTTGTGTGTGTGTGTGTTCTACCATTAACCGCTGTAAGATTGTGTGTATGTGTGTTTGGCCTCCAGTTTGTGTGTGAATTTGTGTAAAGACTGAGGCTGTTTTCACGCTTCTCACATCTGCGGCATGTTTTTATTTTGGCTCCCATATTCGTAGCACAAAAGAAACTGCAAGAAAGTTAACACCATTAACTTAAAGGAATAATTGACCCAAAAATTACAATTTGCTGATAATTCATTCACCCTCAGGCAATCTAAGATGTAAATGAGTTTGTTTCTTCATCAGATTTGGAGAAATGTAGCACTGCATCAGTGTCTCAGCAATGGATGCTCTGCAGTGAATGGGTGCCGTCAGAATGAGAGTCCAAACAGCTGATAAAAACATCACAATAATCCACAAGTAATCCACACCTCTCCAGTCCATCAGTTAATGTCTTGAGAAGACAAAAGCTGCCTGTTACAAATGTGGCTTGTAAACGGTGCTTGATCTGTGCAGATTTCTCTCCCGATTCAGACCAGATTAATTTTTTCAATTTTTTCACTCGAGGAAGCAATATTACGGATCGTGGACTCATATTTTAGCTGGAAGCAGCGTTTGTCTTCTCCAGATGTTAACTGATGGACTGGAGTGGTGTGGATTACTTGTGGATGTTTTTATCAGCTGTTTGGACTCTCATTCTGACGGCACCCATTCACTGCAGAGCATCCATTGCTGAGCAAGTCATGCAATGCTACATTTCTCCAAATCTGATGAAGAAACAAACTCATCTATATCTTGGATGGCCTGAGAGTGAGTGAATTATCACCAGATTTTTATTTTTGGCTGAACTATTCTTTTAGTTAACATTATAATTTGCAATACAGGTGTTTTTTTGTTTTTTTTTAAGGCAATGCAAAATGCTTTTTTTTTTTTAAATATGTCTGTCAGGCTTGATGCAAGTTAAATGCCATGAAAGGTACACAAATATTGTTTGTTCAGTAAATTTGTACTTAATCTGGATTATAGATTGGGAACTGTGTAGATTAATAATTATTTGTATGTAAATGTGATCATCATTCAAATATTCATGCAAAACTTTATATTAGTTCTCAATAATCCATTCTCAGTCACCATTTAACAATTCTTACATGATACTGAATGAAAAACTTGTAAATCAGGACTCACTTTTATGCAGCAGAAAACACATGCTGTAGATGGCAGATGTGTGAAACGGTGCGTTTGTGTGTGTGTGTGTGCGTGCGTGCGTGCGTGCGTGTGTGTGTGTGAATACCGTTTGAGGTCACAGGAAGGTACATGATAATGTCATCATTCATTTCAGTCACATTTGATTCAAGATCACATCCTGGCGTGTCAGTCATTTTTATCAGGATGCCAATAAAATTGATTCATTGAAGTTTTATGGTGTCAGACTGTTGTGTTTAGTGCTCTCTTTAAATGGCTGTTTTTCTCAAAATAACAATCCGAATGAATATTTATTCAGTGCAACCACACAATAAGAATCGCCTTTTTCATTAAATGAGAGAATAGAGTTATTATGCTCTGTAAAGAACATAGAGTAGCCTACTGTTCACGTTTTTCAATTTTAGAATTTTAGGTTTTTCTTTTAGTTTAGAAATTAATAATTTTACTCAGCAAGGATGCATTCAATTGATCAAAGGGGACAGTAAAGACATTTATAATGCTACAAAAGATTTCTGTTTCAAATAAATGCTGTTCTTTTGAACTTTCTGTTCATCTGTGAATCCTGAAAAATAAAATGCATCACATTTTCTACAAAAAAAAAACATTGTTTTCAACATTGATAATAATCAGAAATGTAGAATGATTTCTGAAGATCATGTGACACTGAAGACTGCAGTAATGCTGCTGAAAATGTAACTTTGATCACAGGAATAAATTACATTTTAAAACATATTCACATAAAAAACATTTATTTCAAATTCTAATAGTATTTCACAATATTACAGTTTTTCTGTATTTTTGATCAAATAAGTGCAGCCTCGGTGAGCAAAAGTGACGTGACTGGTACAATCCCATTATCATGAATTACATAATTATTAAACTAATAGGCCAAGTATTTTCTAAATGAACAAATCAACTGTTTATTTTCAAATTAAACATCTCAACAGCCACTGAATGAAGGGGTTTGAGTATGAAAAATTGTATATCAAGTATAAAATATTAGATAATACATATTTCTTATAAATACATGTATATAAATACTAGAAAAGTATTTGTATGTTTATTTACAAATGTACAGACCAGTTGTAAATTGGAATAACTTTAACGTAGAATTAGTACGCAACTTTTAAAATTAAATACAATTATGAGAATCTTAGCATTAGCATGAACACACACACCTAGATATCGAAGTGAATTTATTTGATTATTTTAGTTTACATCCAGTGATCTGCTTCTGACACGGACAAACATCTCTCGTTTGTGTTGATTAGTGGCTTCGTTTGCATGCAGGCGTGTTTGGACCGTCACATTAGCCAGATGAGCTGGGTGTGAGCTACAGAAGGACAGAGAGATTTATGTCAGTGTGTGTGGTTAGTTTGCATTTGCAAGATATTAATGAACAAGACTTTGACCATCTGTGAGATTGTGTTGATAGAGGCCAAGAGGTGAGAAGTGGGCGTGTCCTGCTGTTACTATAAAATGCTGCTCGATACTGGCCACACCCACTCAGGACACGCCCAATCGCAGTAAAGCTTGAGTGGCCACGCCCACTCTGCCAGTTAACACTGATTGAGATTGAACAGGAGACTGAAAGCATGTGTTTGAATACTGCTGAAATTGAACATACACTGACTGGGCTTGACTCTATTCATCAGGAATTGGTTGGATGGTGAAAAGTGGATTGCATAGGACTGTGGAAACATGGTGGGAGTGTTTGGGGAAACCTGTCTGAGGCCATCATTTCTGCTGTTCTGTTTGCTCTAATGGTGCTGTAGTTTGTTGCTTCAGTTACTTTCTAATCAGAGTGCCAGCGGGAGGAAGGTTATGGTGTTGATGGACGCTTGTAGAGACTTGCCTTTCTAGCAGATTTCTGAAACACTGATGACTTTTGGGAACAATTTAGCCAATCAGTCTTTGAGGGTTTGGACTTGTGTCACATATCCATGCTTCCAGAACAAAATGGCTTAACATTTTCCTTTTATTTATATAATACACAAATTATACAGAAAATTATACATTTTATAATACGTATAATTATACGATAAGTTGTATTATAAAATATTTAAAATACTAAAATATGATAATATACTAATTTAAAATATAAAAATTACATATTCTAGAATATTTAGAATTACTGGAATAATATTTAGAATTAGTTTAAATGATTTCAAGTACTTGACATTAAAAATACTATAATAGTGCTTTTAGAAACAATTAAAAATTAATGAAAAAACAAAAATGTTTATGATACAAAATGTGTGTGTGCAAAATGTATATAATATACAAAAATTATATCAAATATGTTTATAATATACTATTTATCATTTTATAATATAAAATCATTTTGAATCCTATATTATTTATATTTCACATAATATATAAATATTTTATAATAGTCAGATTTTCAACTAATATAATATACATTTATATAATATTCAAATTATATAGCAAATTATGTATTTTAATATTTATCATTTTAGATCATTTATATTATAAAAATGATTTAACATGCTCAACTAAAATATATTATTTTTAAAATCATATATTCTAGTTTCAATAAATAGATTATAATTGCATAAATTGAACTTTTACATTTTAAAATTAACTTTTTAATAGTCTTTTAAGTAATAAAAAAAAAAAAAAATTTGTAGTGTTGAAATATTACATTTGCCAGAATATGTGTATTCGAAAAGTTTTATTTTAGGTGTGAAGTTATACATTTAGTTAACTTTGTTTGAAAATAATATAATAATAATAATAATAATAAAACCCTCATAAGTAACATATATATATATATGATGTATGTCATTTATGACATGACCGAGGTTTCACAGTAGGTCACACTTGAGTTTCAGAGACGTACTGCGTTTAGACCGTTCTGTGTTCTAGAACAGTCTGGCATGTTCTGTGCTAGAATAAACTGATTACAGCCGTATTCCTCTTTCTGAAACATCCCATAATAGCATTACTACGGTAATCAGCTCATTACTCATTCATTCTGACATCATCACATTCAGCCAATCGAATTAAGCGCATAATTAGAGCACGGCAGATGAAGGGCCGTGTGTTTGAGCTGCTGATAGACTGAGCGCTGTGTGTCTGTTTGCATAATACTCACATTTATCATTTATGTCATGAGAAATTAAGTTCCTGCTGCTGTCAGCTAACCACTGAAATCTACTCAAAGCTTTACTTTTTCTGAGGAGACCATGAGTAAAGTTTCCCAGTGCAAGAGTCAGCTGCAAGATGCTACAATGTTGCCAGTTGCTAAGGTGTTCTGAGTGGGTTTAAGCACGTTGCTATGTGGTTGCTAGGGTGTTCTGGTGCAAGTTATGCACCAAAGTTGAATACTTACAGGAATATACGTTAGGTCAAACCACTAACCCTCAGTTTTAATGGTAAAAGACTCGTGCTCTTTAAAAAATAAAACGTGCCCCTTTTAGACTTGCACTCTATTTATTTACTGCTTGTTTTCTTTTTCTTTTTTTAACTAACACTAGCTTCTCTAATCTTTTTGTATTCTATCTGTTTGTTTTATTTTTATTTATTATACAATTAACAAAAGCAAAAAAGGCCTCTAACACTAGCTTGCTCTATTCTTTTTCTGTTCTATCCATTTTCTTTTTATTTATTATATAATAATAAAAAAAAAACCTTGCTAGGTGCACTGCGTTAAGCTAACAGAGACTTGTTATAGCACTTGTATATCATTGCTCTTTTGTTGATTTTGATTGCTTCCATTGTCCTTATTTGTAAGTCGCTTTGGATAAAAGCTCTGCTAAATGACTAAATGTAAAAGTGTTAATTAGTTAATGGTAAGTTATATGGTGGAAAAACTGTACTATATGTACTGGGACATTTCATGTTATTTGAAATATGAAGTAAAATATGGTTAAATGTACATTTTAATAATATTTTTGATTTATATATATATAGTCACCATTTTGGTGTCTACATCAAATTAAGTTTACAAAAGTAATTTTATATACATAAAAAGACATGTTAAATGCAAGTTAAGAGTCTGCTTTCATATTTCAAATAACTTTGACGTTGAAAATAAAGTGTCAAAATATGGGGGAAATAATGTTCCAAAGTGTAAAATTGTCATTCAG